AACTTAAAAAATAAACAAATAAACAAATACAAAAAAAAAAATTTAAAAATGAAATTAATTAAATTTAAATAAAAAAAAATTAATCCTAACTAATCTTTTATTACAAAACTGCTAATTAAATATTAAAAAAAAATTGATAGAAATAAATTAAAAAAAAAAATAAATAAATAAATAAATAAATAAATAAATAAATAAATAAATAAATAAATAAATAAATAAAAAAAATAAATTAAAAAACTTACCGATACAGTCACTAATAATCATACGAATCCGTAATGAAACCGGCTGAACCCAATTAGAAACCTGAGTAAGAAAGATTTCTAAAAGCTAAAATCGATCGCTTGGTATGTGGAGTCTTAGAGAAGGCTTTGGATTGTATGCAGAAAGTAACAAACAAATAATGCCCAAAATTCCAACCGATCCTGAAATATAAAAAGTAAATATTAATAAATAATCCTCAATTTATACATAGAAATTCCCCTTTCATTTCACCCATTACCCCACTGTTTTTTACTTCCTCCTACTGTTCACTACTGCCCTTCACTGCTCCACCACCCACTGCCCTCCACTGCCTCTCTCTGCCCACACCTCACTACTCACTTAATTAATTAAACACAAAACCTAAATAAATTAAAACATTTAAAAAAAATATATATTAAAAAAAAAATATTAAAAAAAATTCTTACCCATAGCTGAAGTTGGTAAAGCTTGCTTTCTTCAGTTCAGTTCTGAAGAAAGAAGCTTTACAAAGGCAAAAAAAGATTATCAATTTAACATTTGATAATCAATTTAGGATCTGAATCTGAATTCGAATCTGACAGATCAGATCCAAATCCAAATCTGAATCTGACGTATCAAATCTGAATCTGAATCCGACAGATCAGATCTGAATCCAAATCTGAATCCAACGGATCAAATCTGAATCTGAATCTGAATCTGATGGATCAGATCAGATCTGAATCTGAATCTGAATCTGATCTGAATCTGATCTGAATCCGATGAATCAGATTTAGATTGATTTGAATCTGTGCGGAACACTAAATATAACTAAATTTACACAATTTTATAATGGAATTTTTATAAAAAATGAGTCACAAGTATCACCTCTGGATATAAATACATAAGAAGCAATTGAGCAAGCATTAATAGAATTTATTATTGAAGATATATAGCCTTTTCATATATTGAAAAGAAAAAAATTCTGAAGACTAATTGAATTATTAAATTCTTCTTTTATAATTCTATGTAATAAATGTCTAAAAGCTTTGATTATTGATTCATATAATCTTGCTATTAAAAATCTCAAGTTATTATTTATCGAAAATATGACGTGATATTCACTTACATTAGATTTATAGATTGTAAGAAACTAACATAGATTCTTAAATATTACATATCATTAGATTATCAATGATTTTGAATTAAAAGAAGCTATGTTAACCATTTGTCATGTTAAATATCCATATACTGGAAAGAGCATTAAAGATATTTTAAATCAGATTATTGAAGAATGGAATATTAAAGAATCTGTTTTTTGCATAATAACAGATAATGCTTCTAATATGATAAAGGCTTGTACATTGCTTAATTCAATTCACAAGCTCTCTTGTACTACATATGCTTCAATTAGTAATAGAAAAAGGTTTCTTACCAACATAAGTTTTAATTGCTCATATCAAACAATTGATTAATTTTTTCATGAGTCTAAAGCAATCTAAATGACTCAACATGTATTATACAAAGATGATAATCGTATTATTAAAGATACTGCAAAATATCTTTATACTATTGCAGATATGAAAATAAGATGAAATTCTTTATTTCTTGCATGGCAAAGATTATTACAAATCAGATCTTTTATTTTAATAGTATAATCAATATTAGCTGCTACATAAAATCCTGATTCACAATTCAAAAAAGATCTAGCATGACTTAATAAAATTATATTAAAAAATAATAAATTTAAAGCTATAAAAGAATTGATAAAAATACTTAGGCAGTTTGCAGTAGCAACTGAATGGTTAGGTGAAAGTAAATATTTTACTTTTGGATTTATGTATTCAACTATATAGATTATCATGAAAAATTTAAAACCAACAAATATTACTGAGCTTAATATTGATTTAGATGAGTCTGGAATTGTATTTGATGATATTATTCCAGAAGGTGATGAAGAGTTACTTGAAGAAATGACTAATAATTTGAATAATAGTCATATATAAAGAAAAAAAAAATCAATATTAATTTTCTCAAGAAACAGATGGTCTCGTAAATAAAGTCAAGAATGCTTTATATATTGTAATAGAATAATATTATAATATTCCTGCTGATGAAATTATTTTATCAGCATTATTAGATCTACGATATAAGAAGCTCACATTTGCTAATCATAATCAAAGAATTAATACTGAAAATAAATTACGAATTCTTTATAATAAATTACTGCAAACTTATGAATCTGAATCTACTATTTTAATAAATTCAACTACTACATGGCTCAATTTTCATACTGATAATCCTATTCAAAAATATAAAGTTATAATTCATTACAGATTACAAGTACAATACAAATCAGTTATGCAAGACAAAATAGAAAATTATTTAAAAATGGATGAAATTGAAATTAAAAAAGATCCTTTTAAATGGTGATGCATTAATAAAAATCGTTTACCTAAATTAACAAATTTGGTCAGAAAATATTTGAGCATTCCTGCCACTTCTATACTCAGTGAATATCTCTTCTCTCATACTAGTTTAGTTATGATTAATAAAAAAACTCAATTAAATTCTAATACTTTTGAAAAAATCTTATTTCTTAAGCGTAATGTATATGATAATAATGTAGCTAACCAATAATATATATTAAATCTTATATAATTTTAATAAATTAAAAAAAAATTTTAAAATTTAACTGATGATATATATCTAACCAATAATCGAATTAAAGTCAGATTTATTCGATCTATACTTGAATCAGAAATCAGATTTATATGATAGATCCATTTATCTGATGATTCTGATAGTTTTAGGAGAGTTCTAAGAACTGACGAGTTTTTATAAATCATGAGATGATCAGCCAATCAGATTTCACTGCCCTTGATTTATTGACATTATAGCTAAGCCACCATTATTATTTGATTAAATCATTATATTAATCAAATAAATTAGTCTCACAATATTTTAACACATCACTCGATATTTTTCCATAAAACAGGCTTCAATTTTCTTAAAAAACTTCTTATCATGTAAAAAAAATATCTTCTATCAAGTGGTCTGACACTCAATTTCGTATCCTCGTTAATGAACAAAAACAAAGAAATGCTGAGTATCATGCCACTTTAAACAAAAAGAAATGACTTTTTTGGGAGAATATCGCTAATAAAATTAATGAGTATGAAAGAACAAACTATTTTATAGGTGATGATTGCTATAAGAAGTTTTTGTATCTTATGAAATTTTTTATGTAAGTAGCGATTGCTTGTATTCTATGAGGAATCTGAATAGTAAAATATACTTATTATTACTTCATTAGATAGTGAAAAAAATACAAAGAAAGCACTGGAAGTAAAAGAAGTTTAGTTAGTGAAGAAATTTACAAAAAGTTCTTTAGCAAGTTTTGGTTAAATCCAGGTAATTGTACTCAGAGAGATTTACTAAAAAAATAGTTTGACTTATCTACTCAATAACAAATTTATTTATATAACTAGAAATATCTTTTGATCAAATTTACAATGAAAACATATGGAAGTTAAGCAGAGCGGGTTATCTTCATTATTATTAGCAAGTATATACTAAACAAGTTCCTCTTCAGAGAGAAAATCTGTAACATATTCTAAATCCCCTATCTCATCTAAACTAATAACTCTTTCTGTCGAATCTCCTACTGTCTCTAGACCAGTCACATCTATTTTAATTTTAGACAATTTTTATAGCTTACACTAGTAGACTATAACATAGTATCACTAACTCTAGCAATTACGTATTTAATGTTATCTATAGAATAGATAATAGTGAAATTAAGCCAGAGAAAGAAATTTTGCTAAGACTTTGATCATTACCAATGGTAACAGTTTTTTGCCAAGAAAAAATTTTTATTTATTAGTACATATTGATGTTTGCACAAAAGTAAATACTATAAACATTTTTTTACACATACGCCATCCGCATACATTGGTTAAGATTATGAGCCCATGATATATACAGTGGCTTCCAAAAAAAACATACCATTATACTGTTTATTACTAGTCATATGTTTTACGATCAACAATAAATTTGTTTTAATTTAATATTTTTTAAATAAGTAATACAGATGTAGATCTTCAAATAAATATAGTTAGATTTCTTTTTTGTATTATATAGATTGATCTACATACATTTTTTTTTCAAAACCATAGTGCGTTATTTTTGTTATTTGATAAAAAAAAAAATAAAAACTGAATAAAAAAAATTTTTTTTATTTATTAATAATAAATTTTATAATAAATACTTCCTTTCGTATACCCATACTCCTTTAAAAACCTTTTTTTGTATTATTATTTTAAGGTCAGTTAACTTCTGAACAAAGAGCACAAGCAATTATACTACTTAAAAATAGCTTTGCTTCAAGAGAAATTGCTACCAAAGTAAGTTGTAAAAGCCATACAATTATTTCAAGACTTAAAAAAAAGTATGAAGAGACTGGTAAAGTTGAAAATAAACCAGGTTTAGGTCATCCAAGAAAACTGAATGAGCAAGATGAATGTTCTCTTATAAGATGTTTAATGACAAAGAAATATACAACCGTGGTCCAACTTCAAAAATCACTAAAATCTTCTGATAATATTGAAGTCAACACTAACACTGTTCATAGAGCTTTGAAAAGAAATAGTTTGATAGTTCAAGTAAAGCGTAAAATCCACTTTTATCAAAAAAACATTGTGAAAAATGCCTTAAATTTGCAAAGAGATATAAGGATTAGATAATAAATGAATGAAATAAGATTGTATGGTTAGATGAGTCCAAATTTCAAATATTTGGTTCAGATGAACGTGAGTATTATTAGAAATAAATAGGAAAACTCCTTCAAAATACTCATATTAAACCTACTATTAAGTTTGGTAGTGAAAGTGTTTTATATGAAGATGTTTTACATTTTGTGGTATAGATTATCTTTGTAAAATAGATGGTAAGCTTGATGCAGAACTTTATCATAAGATTTTGAATGAAAACTTTATGGAGACTTTGCAGTACTATGAATTAAGTACTGATAATATTATCTTTATGCAAGATAATGACCCTAAACATACTACTATACTAACTAAAAAATGGTTTAAAGATAATAATGTAGAACTTTTACCTTGGCCACCACAATCTCCTGACTTGAATCCAATTGAACACTTATGAAATGATGTGAATTATCATATTAGAGCATTAGATATTGAAATTAGAGGGAAGGATATGTTATGGGAGTAAATTCATAAGATATGGGAAGAAACTGCATTAGAAACATGCATCAAATTGATAGAATCAATGCCAGAAAGAATAAATGATGTAATCAAAGCAAAAGGTGGTTATACTCGATGGTGAAAATATTTGGTGAAATTTTTAATTGGGATTAATTTAGTTTTTTTAAAAAAATTTAATAAATTTGTTATAATTGCGAAAGCGTTATATTAAACGCACTATCATTTAATAAATAATCACGTGATAAAAAATTTTCTGATTTATCAAGTAATATTAAAATTGCTGTATTATGAAGATCTTATAGTATACTATATGTTTAATAAACATTCAAATAATCAGATTTTGTTTATTAATAAAACACATGATTAATAATAAGTAATATAGTGGTGCGTTTTTTTTGGAAGCCACTGTAACTACTGCAATATATTTTAATAATATACTAAAAAGAAAGTTTAAAGAAAATGCATTTGACTACATGTTTTCCTAATTTGACGACATTATAGCATGCATCAGGAAAAAAGATTGCTAAGAAGGTTATTATATCAAGCCCAAAAAGTAATATGATTAAGTTTTGAACTCTTTCTTCAGATCTATTTTCAATGTCGGTCATTTAGGCTTGATATATTCTTTCAGCTTCTCTTATCCTAATATTTTGTTCATTTTCTATGCGTTGCCTTTCCGCTAATCTTTCCTCCTCTTGTCTTTGATGCAGATTCAACTTGTAAAGTTCTCGAACCTCATTAAATCTTTCTGAAAAATAGGTTCCTGGTATATTAGCAATGAGATATTTAATCCTGCCTAATTGAGATCTATAGATATTATGGTTTTGATCAAAATAATCAGAATTCAGAGAAATTCACCAATGGTTATTCATTACTTCAATAAAACTGGTAAAATCTCTATTCCAGGCACGTTGCATTTCATTTGGATTTCTCATTTGATTTTTAGTTGGCTTAGAAAATACAATTATAATGTAATCCCTTAGTGCTTCATTTCTGAAAAATTCTTGTATAATTTCTAAGGTCTTGTGTTGTTCGGATGTATACCAGGTCGCTTTTGTAAATGAAATTATAAGCAATATTCTTGTAGTCTTGTTATTTAACTCGATAATGTAAGATACATTATTTACTATACCAAAAATAATTAAGATAGCTTTTATTCCATAAACGCATCGAAGGCAATATCTAAAAATTTCTACAATTATATATTCTGAAGGTGTTTGATCATTAAAGACCCTAGGTGTGTCAACAATACTATATTGAGCGTCTTCGATAGTTACTGTTTCTGCATAATATCTATTTGTGACAGCATCTTATAACTTATTAAATTTCAAGAAAATATTGAAACATAAACTGTTCAAATACTCACCATGTCAGCTGAAGTATTGAAAGGATCATTGTTATGCACCCTTCCGAGAAGCATATTACCCAAAGTACTTTTTCCTGAACCTATTATAATAAATTAATATAATAGTGGGAACAAGGGTGTAAAAGGATGATCTATTAAGTTACTTTCCTATTTTTCTAACAATCAGAATAATAGGATGTTGTGGAGATTCGTTGATTTAGGATCTAAAAAAGTCGAAAATGAAAGGTAAATTTTATAGTCAGTAAACTTAACTGAGAATATTACTTAACTGGTTCATTTCAGCAAGTACAACAGACAGGAGATGAGAAATAATTTGGGTCTTGTTCAACTAATATATTGTTCAACTAATATATTACAAGTCTTAGTATGACTATAACTTGATAATAATGATATCAAAGAGGAAGTGAGTACGCGAATCCTGGGCCATTTAATGCATCAAGTTATTTATTTGCTCGATAAGCGAACACAATTGAGAATGTATATACAAATAAAATACGTACAAATGTTTTAAAAAATTCGAAATAAAATCTTTATAATACTTTTTTTGTAAAGTAATAAATGAAAAAGGATTGGTTGACTAAGTAAAATGAAAGTAAAAATAAGAGTAGCAGGTTGTTTCAAAGGAGAAAATTTGCTGAGCCCTAACCCATATAGTGACAGTTCCTTTCCCGCTACTCAGTATTATTATCTAAACTGCTAATATTTTCTTTGCTATCTAACCATTTGCTAATTAACTTTATTGTACTATATTTTGAATTACTATACCTATAATAAAACTTTTTATAATAACCCTCCAATCTTTTTCCCGTAAGTTGACGAATTTCACAAGCTACCATTTCACACATTATAGTCAACTGAATCACTTCCTCTAAGCGAATTAAAAATTTGCTTAAACGAGTTTCAACATTTTCAAAAAAAGATGAATTGGACGATGAACTTCTGGAATAAGAGCTCGCATGTGAAGACTCTGATTAGCTTGAAGCTTCGGAATGGTTGACTACACTGTGTTGATCAGATTCGTCAGAGACTGATTGAGCTCTTTGAGCAAAAATGTCATCTACATTATGTCAAACCATATTGCTTACAAGAATTTGGATAGTAGCATTAATTATGATAAGCTTTTGTTCAATTTCATCAGGTCTTGTGCTTACCATTGATAAAATTTTTTGCACCTCAGAGGCGTAACCAGCATCAAGAGAATTTATTTTAGTGATTTCTCTAGTAAGTTTCTTATTAAGTTCATTGTTGTTTCTCACAAGTTCCGCAGTGAAAGTAGAATTAACTTCAGAAAGACGTGTGGAAAGTTCATTGGTGATTTTAGTATTGATTTTCATGGTAAATTTACTATAGATATTTTCGATTTCTAGTGTATTATCAAGATCATTGACGATTCTAGTGACATGTACAGAGAGTTCATTAGAGATCTTTTGTTTTAGGTTCCCATACATTGTGACAATCCCCACAAATATCACTGGACTAACGAATAAAAAAATAGCAGTTAAGACCAAAAATGGTATACTTCCAGAAGAGTTGAGCAATGACATGATTAGGTAAATTGATGCATAGTAATTTTATTAAGAGATTATTGGTGGATCAAGTTTTTTTAGATATTAACGATTGATTTTTTTTTAATATTCAATTCTCTTGCATAAATACGTTAGGAAAAAGGTTTATTTTATACTATATCTCTACTACGTATGAAAAGAGAATTTAACCTGATTTAATAAAAATCATGTTGCTTTATTATATGTACATTTTTCATGATTATATTTTTCAGCTAAAGCAATAATAATAGCCTGGATCCCATCTAATAATAACAAATGTCTCTTTTCTGAATTGTAATAATAGTACTTAAAAGAAATCTGAAAAATTACAGTTTTATAACAACTTAATGTAATACTAATAGAGTAATACTGTATCTTAAAATTTTCTGTTTATTTTTAAGATCTCTTGCGAAATAAAAAATCGCATATGGTGTATCTTTATTTGAGTTCACAACCCTATTTCAATTGTAATCACAAAAAATCAGAATATTTGTCTTGACTGTAGGTCAAAGATCTGTAGATGATAAATCACACTAATTCCTATTCAAAAACAGATTAATGTATTATTACCTATATATGTAATTTGAATGTACTAACATCAGTAGAATAATAAAAATATACCGTTTGTCTGAGGATCTGTAAATCATAATTTCTATTTACTCTATTTCCATTTTTGAATTTCTTTTTAACAATGTCCTGTTTTACGATCTGTATAAAAATCAGAATGTGTTTTTTCATTAGTAATTCAGAACTGCGTAATGAGTGATATAGAATATACCAGAACTTTGAGAAAAGTCCATCAGTATATTAACATAAAAATATTGCTCTTGGCTGAGGTTATTAATAGATCCTCTGCCTTAACACTTTCAGTAAAAATGACAACTGCAAATGCCAGTGACATACCACTACATAGTATATTTTGCAGATATAATTCACATAAACCAGTAAGGCAGTGACGTTTTACTGCAAAACGCTAAAAGAAAATATAGATAACGTTACTGTATTTCTCTGAAAATAAGCATCTTTTTCTTGCTATAGGAGTGCTTATTTTTGGATACTAAAAAAATTTGCTAAGACAACAATCTAGAAACTGCATCAAATGCTAAAAATAAAGGTCCTAAATCTCATGACTGCTGATTGTTTTGTTATGCAATACGCAGATCTAATAAATTGAATTGCATATACATACATAAACATGCGATGGTCTTTTTTCATTTATCTAAAAATGTCACAAAAAAAACAGTCACAACGTAAACAAAAGGTTAAGTCACAAAAAAAATAAAAAAATTGCTAAACGAAAGCAGATATCATACTCTTTCTCTCAAAAGTCACAGATTGTAGATTATGCAAAGAAGCATGGAAGAAATAATGCTGCTGCACATTTTGAACTTGATACCAGTATGATTGGACGTTAGATGAAGATAAGTATGAACTGGTCAAGTGAAATAAGTGAAAATAGTAGACAGGTTAAATTTGACCAAAAAGCTTTCTTTCTAGAAGCGGAAAAAAAGCTGTATAATTAAATAATGGAACAAAGAAAGCAGGTTTTTGCAGTGACTTATGTAATAATATGATATAGAATGCTGAAAATATTGGAAGAATCCAAAATTTTAGTTCTTTATAGTAATGCATCAAAGGATTTTAAATGTCTCACCGTTAGCTAGTTGCATTTTTGAAATGATACAAACTGGCATTACGAAGACATATAAAATATTTTAAAACTTCCAATTTAAACTCAAGATTTATTAGAAAAGTTTTAGCAATTTGTTATTCACCTTAGAATAGAAAAATCCTTCGAAATAGATGAAATTTTTAATATGAATGAGACACCTGTTTGGTTTGATATAACTGGCAATATCACAATCAATCTAAAGGTAAAAAAACTGTGCATATTCGAGTAACAGATAACGAGAAGAATTGGTTTACTGTAGTTTTAATATGTGTCACAGGTAAGAACTGATTTATGAAATTTACTGAAAAGGAATGCAAGGAAAATTTTATTGTAATTATAGTTTTTTATTCATTTTTATAGATGGTACTAAATTACTACCTATCTGCATTTTTAAAGGAAAACGGATGTCACAAGGAGAACAAATTCCTTCTGAAGTAGTAGTGTAATTTCAGGAAAATGTATGAATGAATGCTGATCTGATGAAAAGGTATGTGGTTTATCTTAATGATGCAAAAACTAACAATATTTTACAATGTTAGTGTATGATTCATTTAGAGGTTATATTGAAGAATTGGTAAAATTAAAGTTTCGTGAAAGTGGATATAATTTGGCAGTCATTCTAGGCAGATTGACTAATATTTGGGGTCTTTGCAATAGAAAGGGAGGAAACTCAAAAAAAAAAAAAAAAATGAGTTAATAATAAATCTGAACAAATTATAGTATTTAAAACATTTTTGGCTTATAAACTAAAATTTTAAT